AATAAACAATTAATGTGTAACCTGTCGAAACTCTGTCGATTGATTTCTGGAGGAGTTTCTCCCGCAACCTTACTCAGAACCAAATAGATTGTTTTTTCAAGAAATAGCCAATGCAAATTATACCCAGAAATTCCAAGAGAACATAATATATTATAAAGGAAATTTTTTTTACTCCAATGTTGCTTTTAAAATGTTTGTATTATTAATAAAATTAATTATTTTTTTCGCTTGTGCTTTGTTGATACCTAAAAAGGCAAATGATTGCCATACACGTGATCAAAATGTCTTACCTGTGGGTGGGGGAGTAAGTTCTACTATTAAAATGATATTAGCTAATTTATGTCAGCGCCCTTAGGTCCACTGTTGAAGAAAAAAATATATATAATGATCAACTTTGCAACACAAGAAGATGCAGAAAAAGCATGTTCTGTACAATTTGAACAAGATAATGAACATACTCTGCAACCTTGGAATAAAGTAGTAGATGATAGTCAGGATAAAATATTAATTGTAAGAGACATTTCATTAAATGTCAATCATACAATTCTTTTCAACAATCTAAAACAATATGGAGAAATTACAAACATCAAATATAAATTATGAGGTCCTTGGTGCTAGTGTTGGTTTCCAAAACTAGAAAATTTCACAACCGTGCAAAAGACAAAAGGTTTTGCCATAAGTCGAAACTAGTTTTGATTTTTGACTATTGACTTTTGATTTAGTTTTGACATATAACTTTTAATTTTAATTATGACTGTCTCTTCAAAATAGTTTTGACGACCAACACTATTACCAATCGGATGGAAAAAATCCTAATAATAATAATAACGACCCGTTAACAATCCGGGTCGTGACACAAACTTTGATTGTTAAAACTTGCAGAGGCTTTTTAACAAGGGCCAAAATTTACTTTTTGTATAATAGCTTCAGCCTTTCATCCATTAAAATTCCATCTCATCAATTACTTTTTTTCTCTCTTCTTCACTGAAGATAAATTATAAGTTCTTTTTTGGTAAAAAAGGATTGACATTTTTGCTTGGTTCATTATCAGAGGTTTATTTTGGCATAAGTACATTTCACCCGTCATAATAAACTCATATCTTTTCCTAATACACTCGCATCTTACAAGGCCCAATCGCAGATAATTATATTGCGCTGGTTGCATAGATTGTATTAGTTGTTGTGAATAATTATTTTGTACGGCCAAATAATTCTTAACCGCTAATTCTAATTTGCCCCTAATTTAATATTGATATTTTGAGCCACTGTTGTCAGTTGTAATATATGAAAGATAGATATCTGTTTATAGGGTCGACAGAAGTTCAAATTTGCCTTTTTAGAATCCTCTTGCAAGAGGTAAATTGGCTTTCAATGTATTAGATGTCAATACTAGTGTCACTTAAAATCTGATTGGTCGTTGCAAGAACGTAATCACGTCAACCAATTTTGTCTATATGAATGAGATAATAGTTTTTATGCGATCTAAGCAACATCTCTTTCCTTGTTTTTATTTCTCATCCAATCGCATATCTCTCTCATTTGAGATTGATATAAAGATTTAACCCTACTATTTGAGCTACAGGGAATAAGATCAATTAAAAATCTACATATCCTTAACATTGAAGAAGGGAAATGGTGTTAATCCTAATCTGTCCTAAACTCTCCTGTTCTTTTCTAAATTTTTAGACCAAAGTTAATGTTTTCACAAAAAAAAATCATCAGCTTAAAAAACCATAATAAAATCGGCTTATAGCAGGGTTGGCAAATTGACTGGTCCATTGCAATTAATAAAATACTAAATATGGTCAAAGTGTTACACTAATGGACCCAATGGACCACCAATAG